AGCCCCTACTTCTGCTCCTTGGTGGGCGCGTAGTAGAGCTCCAGCGGCTTGCTCACCTTCCAGTACTTCTCGTTGACGAGCTCCAGCGTGAGGGAGCCGTTGAGGGTCTGCAAGGGGACACGGGCGGTGACGCCGGTGCCGCCGGGCCCCGCGCGCCCGCCGGGCCCCTCGCCGCTACCGTGAAGGCGCCGGCGGCCGTGGTGATGTAGATGGTGTACTGCTTCTCGCTGACGTCCTCCAGCCCCGCGGCGTCGGGGCCCGGCGCCGGCGCCTCCTCCAGCGCGATGCGCAGCGCCAGGTACTTGGAGAGGTGGTCCACGGTGGCGTTGGCCGTGGTCTTCACGTACCTGCCGGGGGGCGGGACGGTGACGGCGCTGCCRCGCACGGCTGCCCCGAAGAGGGGGTGGCGCGTGGGGGGGACACGGTTCAAGGGAGAGCTCCCAAAATACAGGGACGGCTCTGTTGTTGAGGTGAAGGTGGGATGTCCGTGATGGTGAGAGCTGAGGAACAACCCGCCTACCTCAATGGGGAGAGGTGAAGAACAACCCACCTACCACGATGGGGAGAGGTGAGGGACAACCCGCCTACCATGATAGGGAGAGGTGAGGAACAACCTGTCTACCACGATGACAGTGAGTCAAGAACAACCCACCTACCACGATGGGAAGAGGTGAGGAACAACCCGTCTACCACGATGGGGAGAGGTGAGGAACAACCCGTCTACCACGATGGGGAGAGGTGAGGAACAACCCGTCTACCACGATGGGGAGAGGTGAGGGACAACCCGCCTACCATGATGACAGTGAGTCAAGAACAACCCGCCTACCACGATGGGGAGAGGTGAGGAACAACTAACTGGTCTACCCTGATGACAGGCACTGGAGAACAACCTGTCTACCACAATGAACAACATGAAGAACAACCCAACAACCATGATGACAAGGTTGAAGAACAACCCATCAACCATAATGGCTACCAACCTCTCCCCAGGGGCTACCTCCCATTTGTCCCCGATGCACTGGGGCCAGCGAGTCCGGACGCAGCCCCCAGCCCC